TCCTAGCTGCCCAGACTCAAAATAAGTACTCAGAAACTATATTATTTAAATAACTGCTTAGCTAATCACTAGCTCTTATATCTTTGGTTAACCCATTTCTATTAATCTGTGTATTGCCACATGGCTGTGGCTTACCGGGTAAAGTTCTGTCTGGAATCTGTCTCCAGTGATATTCCATGGCTTCTCCTTGACTCTGCCTACTCTCTCTCCATATATCTCTTCCAGCTGGCTATATTCTGTTAAGCCATTGACTGAAATCAGCTTCTTTATTCATTAGCCAGTAAAAGCAACACATATACAGAAGGACATCCCACATCACAAAGCTGTCCTGTTCTGTATACACTTCTCACCCTCTCCACACCCATGTTCCTGGCAAGACTTGGACAATGCCCGGAGCTCCACTGAGATACACACAGCCATGTCCCAACAGCTTCCTGCTATCTCACACTTCAGTTAACTTAATGATGCTTATGTCTCAGTGTCTCTGGCTCATGCCACAGGATTTGCCACCACAGACCACGATGTCATTTAGATGTGTTCTCTTCTGGCATTTGCAAAACCAGAGAGATGTACACAAACCAGGGGTGGTACCGACTTCCTATCTTAGTTACTGTGACCAAATCTCTCAAAGAAGCAATTTGAGGAGGATCTGTTTTGGCTCACTCTTCGAAAGCACAGCCCCCATGGCAAGGAAAGTGTGACCGTGGGCGCATGAGGTAGACATGGAGGCAGAGAGAAACCAGAAGTGGCTTTGACACAACCTCCTGTCAAAAGTCCTTTTCCCAACAACCTACTTCCTCCATCTGGGCCCCACCCGATAAATGGCTGACATTTCCCCCAGACACCATCGCCACTTGGGACTAAGGATTCAAACACAAGACTGTGTAAGGCATTTGATACCCAAATTATAATGCTTCCCTTTAAAGCACACAACTGGAGTGGCAGTTGGATCAAAACCTCATTTTTACCTGCAGAATTATCTTTTGAATGGGTAGTATTAAAACAGCATCGAGTCATTCTAAAACCAATTTGCTCGAAAAAGGGAATGATGACCTTTGGGAACACGGCTTTAGAAAGCGTATTTTTTTTTTTTTAAATCAGTTCCCTGTAGCTTCACCTCCCCAAAGCCCGGCATGTGCAAATACAAAGACTGAAGGCAAGAAAGACGGCGTGTCGAACCTGCCAGAAGCTCTGGTGTTTTGTGGGGCTCCTCTCTCGTGTCCCCTGAGTCCACAGGAAGGCTGGGTTTACGGGAGAGGCCATGTGTAGATAGGGGCCTGAGAACTAATGGCTTTAGAATAACACTAACTCGCTGGTTCCCAGAAGCTCAGCTTCAGGTCCAATTGTCAGTCCTGACTCTGTGGAACTGTATCTCAGTGGCACTGTGGACACTGTCCGAGTCCTGCCAAGAAGCATGGAACCGAGCAGAGAGCTCCAAGAAGATGCTCATGTCCTCTGGGAGCCAGGTGCGGAGAGGGTGAGAAATGAGAGGAGCATACAAAACCAAACCAAACCAACCAACCAAACAACAACAACAACAACAAAAACAGGGAACTTTGCTCCTTGGAGGAGAGAGGGTGGGGATGTTGATGGGGTGGCGACAAGCTGATACGGTTATGATACGGTAGGTGTCACAGTGCTCTGGGAGTCAGACCCAGAGGCCTCCCATTTATAGGAACCCACAGGATTCAAGCAAAGAAAGTCCTTGTGCAAAGATGGTGCAATATGATACTTCCAGTAGAATGCCATGGCAACAGCTGCTACCCTCAGTGACAGCAGAGTCCTGGACCCTGCCACAGCTGGTCCGGGTCTCTCTCCAAGGAGCCTCAAATACCAAACCTACATCAGGGACATAGTGAGGGCAACAGCGACACATCCTAAACACGCTGATCACAGAATGAATCCAAGGCCAACTGAGCTCTAATTTGCCCCTCAAGGACTAACACACACTTTCTATGGAAACACAGATTAGGTCTATCATTGACTCCATCGGAGTCTTAATGCCTTGTCTCAGCTTCCTCCTTACAGGGTGACACCATGCCGCTTCCCTTGAGGCAGTCTTTGGCTACGCTCATTTCTCTAGACTTATTCTGTGCCTGTTTCCTAAGCCCAGGTTCCAGAAGGAGCCAGATCTCTGTCCCTGAACACAGGATAGTGCCCAGCATGGGGGCAGGCCCAGAGTATTTTTTTTTTTTGGGTGGAATAAATAGACAAATATCCAATCCACTAGCTCTCGGCCAGGGAATCTGGCCTTTATCGGCCGTGAGTGCTACAGGCAGAGGCGTCTGGAATGGAAACGGAAGTTAAGGGAGTCTGCCATCATACAGGGAGAAGCTGACATGTCCTGGGCTTTACACTCTACTGGGTGAGCTGTCCTGAGGAGCTCCATGTGTGCCCACAAGGAGAATCTCTGACTCTATTGATTCTGCTGTTGCAGCCAATAGAGCTAAAAGTCATTTGGAGCCTGTCGTCTTAGCAAGGATGTAAGAGAACAAGGATGCAAGAAGCTACAAGTGCCGGAGGGGAGAGCATGAGTACCCACACTGATGTGCAGTCGCTCAGGGCAGGCTCTCCAAAGCTGAGAAGCCTGCCAGGCGCCCTGGGAAGACACCAGAGGCTTCAGACTGAAAAAAGGAAGAGAGAGGGAGCCGGTGAAGGAGACCAGGGCCGGCTTCCCCAGGAGCTAAGAGAGCTAAGGAAAGGAATTAGCATCTCAACGCCCTGATGAAAGGAAGAAAAAAAAAAGCGCTGGTTCCCAGAATGGAAACTAGATTAGTCACTGTCAGGCGAACAACAGAATAAGGCATAAACAGCAGTCTGGCACAGGGACCACCAACTTTTTCTCAGAAAATGGTGTGCAAGGTAGTCGTGAAGCTGGAGGAGAGCCGCAGCGCCACAGCCTATACCGGCAGATGAAGAGAGGGTGGGTGGGCGTGGAGGAGAGTGGCACTCTCCAGGCACTGTTTCTTCCAGCCAGATACTGAGAATTCCAGTTTTGTTGTTTACAGCCTTGGAGGGAGAGGGCAAGAGAAGGAAAGGAAGGAGGAAGGAGCTAGGAGAGAAGACCCCCCAGAATGAATGACACAAGGCTCCACCCGCTTCTCTGGCAACCTCCAAACTCTGTAACAAGTACAAGAGCTGGTCTGCTACCTGGCACCAATCACAGGAGCTCCAGAAAGACCACAAACCTGACTCAGCGTTTCACTGGCTCCACAGTAAATGCTGTTTGGTTAGTGACCAAGTCCTCAGGCTAGGTGCTTCAAAAGATTCTCCATGCCAGGCTGGAGTGATGGCTGCTCTCCCAAAGGCCCTGGGTTCAATTCCCAGCAACAACATGGCAGCTCATATCTATCTGTAACTTACTCCAAATCTATGGACCCCTCTTCTGGCCTCTGTAGGCATCATGCAGGTACATGGTGCACAGACATACATGAATGCAATACATTATACTCATAAAATTATTATTTTATAATAATAATAATAAAATATTAAATGTAAATATAATTAAATATATTATTAAATATAAATAATAATAATAATAAAAGAGATTCTCCATGCTTAGTTGATTCAGCTGTTGCCCTACAGGAGAGATGCGATGTTGGCTTTGAGCCCAGATAGGGTCTGCAATGATTCTACTTAAAACTCAACTCCCTTGTATATATTCAATATTTAAAACCTTAAAATGATGACTGCTACTGAGGCTAACATCCCGCCTATCTCAAGAGTCAGTACCAGTGCTGGCCAGAACTATGCATTAGTGGGCTGTGTCATCTCGTACCATTCCACAATGAAAATCAACACAAAACAAATGTCAATGCAAAAAGCACAGCTCTCTGCCTTGAAGAGAATAAGACATGGTTTATTCTGCAGTCATTCTGAATGATCAGAAAACTACATTCTGAATGACCTGGGAAACTACATTTAGGCTACCCTCTCCACCCAATTATGCTCTGTCATGGAAGTCTGTAGTGATATTTTATTTGTGTTTTAACAAATAAATCTTGCCTGAAGATCAGAGTGTAGAGTTAAGACACTAGAGGCCAGGTGGTGGTGACTTACACCTTTAATTCCAGTACTTGGGAGTCTATGCTTTTAATCCCAGCACTAGGGAGGTAGAGATAGGAGGGATATGACCGGGTGGAGAGAGGAATATAAGGCAGGAGGAGATAAGAGCTCAGTGTAGTCTGAGGTTTGGTGGAGATAGTTGCAGTCTAAGTGAGCAGTCTGGAGATTCAGTTTGAAGCAGTCAGTCAGAGGATGCAGTCTGAGGACAGGATCGCCTCTTTGGTCTGAGCGTCAATAGAGGTCAAAGGTCTCTCTAGTGACTGACCACTCTGCTTCTCTGATCTCTCAGCCTTCATCCCCTAAAGATCTGACTCCGGTTTGTTTTCATTAAGAACAATTAGAACGTGTGCTACAAAAGTCATTTCATGAAGTTATATAGTTTTACAGAACAAAGAAAGTCACAATCAAGGCAAGTTTAGAATACAATGGCAGGTACATCATGGAGGTGGTTACACCAAGATGGGGGAAGCTTGTCTGTAGGCCTAAGATGCTATCCGATGGCATTCTTAGCCTTTGGGCTGGTGGAAGCCAGTGGTCTGCTAAGTTAATAGATTCCAAACGGTTTGTGTCAGTCAGTCACAGGACATTAGATCTGACACCGAGCAGTCAAAGAAAGACTGTTAGGCCGGGGTTAATGTCAGTCTAAGAAAAGGTAATTCGCTTCTGGACCTGCAATAGTCCAGTCTCTCCACAGTCCTGAACTTCCCATCACACTCTGCAGACACAGCTTCTTCTTAGGAGTTCTCATTCACACAAACAAAATCAACAACAAAACAAGTCCACGAAGCAGACACCCTTCACCCACACCGAGGCACAGGGAGGGAGGGTGGTCATTTGCTCAAGGCCTAGCAGAGAAGTCAGGCTCTGAACCTAAACGTCGACTCTTGGTTCAGAAGACATGGGTAGACATAAGCCAACCACGGGGCTCACCTTACCTTAGTGAAGGTCAGACAATCTTTGTCTTGGTCTCTGTCCTTCATCTCAAAATCATACAGGGCTTTGCCCTGGGGCAGAGCCTGTGGCAAGGGCCTGACACACTGGATGTAGCTGGCAGGGAGGAAGCCATGAGTCCCCTGCAGCTCCCCGTGGTACCAGTTCTCATCCACCTTACGCCGCAGAATGATGATGTCCCCTTTGTTGAACTTGAGGTCACCGGGTTCTTTGCCCTCATAGCTGTAGAGGGCCTTGCCATAGGGAAGCTGGGATAGATTCTGAAACAGAAAAGAGCAGGTGGTTACTTGGAATGGTTCTCCCTAACACCCAAGAAATTTGACCTTGAAAGTATGGCTTCAACGGTCATTGTGTGTCTTATGTGTGAACAACATTCGCAGACCAGAAACCATCCTAAAGGAACAAACAGTCTAACAGAGGAACACATAAGTCCTCTGACCTCAGAAAAGCAAGATAGTCCATACAATAGCAAAGTTCTCAGTCCTATACATGAGGGCCAACTGCAGTCCAACTTTCTATAGAGACCACTGCACTGCACTGCACGGGAAAGGCTCTGAAGGAAGTAATGAATTATTATCTGTCAAAGATAAGGAGGATATAAGTACAGGAGGGGACAATTCATTCAGAGCAAGCTGGGCAGCCAATATCTCACCCACTGTGTGTGCCTCCCTCTCCACAGACCCGTGGCACATACTCATCCAGCCCAGATGAAAGATTCCTGGTGGAGGAATGCAGAGGCCACTCCACCCCTAGTCCCAAGTCACACACCACCCCACTCCCCATGCCATGCAAGCTTTTATGTCACACAACATCTGGTCCAGAGGACAGGACCCTTCCAAGAATATCTAAGCCTGGTCTCGGGCAGTCAGGAGGTGTTCTGTCATCCTGTCAATGTTTGTGAACTTATTTGAATATCATTTGCTACTGTGGTCTCAGACAGCAGCCACAGTTAAAGCCCCAACAAAATCTTTGCCTCCCCTCTCACGGTAGCAAGGATCTTCTCAGTCCTAAATTGATCAGGTTTTACTGTCCCACTCCCTATACTTTCCTAACTGGTCCTGATTGGTCAATTCTGGCCGGCTACATAAGTGTCTCTTGCTTTTCTTTCCTGGTGGTCCACACTTGTTCAATGATCCATTTTGTGCCCGAGGAAAGCCTTGTCATTGTCCCCGAGTCAATGTTCAGCAATTCCCTACTAGAAGTGGCATTTTTCTCACAAGGGCTGCCTGAGCCAAGGATTCTGTAGTATTTGAATCAATCAATAGTTATACAAAGCTCAAAGCCGCAGTACATCAAAAAGTCTTTGTAGAGGGTTTAATAGCACATTGCAAATCAATCACTCTACATTTATGTCTTGGAGATGTCTGATGACAGCATTTAAGAGAAACCTGCTGGCAGATTGACAAACAACCCCCACTAGCCAATTAAACAGTAACACCAGAGAACTTTTCATTACAGAACTCATTCTGGATAGGATAGCTTTGTGGTCTAAGTACAATAGACTGTACCGGGCCCAGACTTGGCGAAAGGCAATTTGCAATCCAATACTTTGCTTAGGAATGACTAAAGAGGTAGCTGGCTGTAGGCCATCAGAAAAGCCCCAGGGCCATATAATGGCCACCTGGTCCCTGGCCCATCGCTTTTCCACGAGGAACAATTTTTCTCAAGATACTTTTGGTTGTCACAATGAGGAGGGGTGCTAGTGGCACCTAATGAGCAGAGCCGGGGATGCTGCCAAGTACCCCCCAATTCATAGCACATTCCCCAATAACCAAGAATATACCAAGCTCAGGATGTCAATAGGTTGGGAAACCCATCTCCACCCTGCTAGCTAATTTATAAAATGATGATGTTTCTCCCTTTTCAACTCAGCTTGCTGCCACATTAAAAGTCAAATAATGATGGGAATGCCATGGCAGAAATATTTTCACTATTGACTATATGGCCACACTTGAAATTTTACTCAGAAAATGGGTTTCAAGTGGCAGTAAAAAAATAACACATTCTGCTCACAAAGCACCTACACTAGGTACCCAAAGGAACATCCCTTGGCATAGACTGACATTGTGTGCACTCCCTTTGCTAGACATCTTCTCATTGACGTGTGTGTGCTTGAAGGAGTAATCTTAGCGTCATGGCTTTGGTGACTGTTTGGAAGCATCTGCTACCACTGACCACAGTGTGAGTAGGATAGACCATGCTAAACCTACACCATTGCTGTCTCCTTCAAAGATCTCACTCCAGTGAACATGGAGTTCTCCCCTAGCTGCCTCTGCTCAGAAAGGACTTGGCCTTATCTAGACAGGCCAACACAGGGACCATTTCAAGTCCCACCTTCGCTATCAGTAACCATGACACTGGATCCCAGTTTTGCTGGGAGGGTGGGGATACAGTGTCAGGGAAACTCCTAGGAGTCAGCTTGATTGGACTGCAGAATCCTACCCAGGCCAGGGGCCCACAAGTTACCCACTTCCTGGTCCTGAAAGGCATCCACCCTGAACCTCAGGGCACTCTGGTTTTTACTGATCCTCTACATGGCTGACAGTCCTACACATATGTGGGCCACAAGCTACTAATCACCACTGTTATAGGCCAAATCCTACTTGCCTCTGTGAGTCTCCAACTCTCAAATCTATGCACTTCTCTTAAAGGCCAAAGTATACGTCCACACCCATGACGACCAGAAGATTTCATATCAGTGTAGCTACTTGTTTGGAATGCAGATTCTAGACATCCCACAAGCTCTCTCTGTCCCGTTAGCCCTACTTCCTATATTCCTCATCCTTACCAGGCAAACTCCATCTATCTGTGCCCATCCTTCCCTGAACCTAGTCTTTTCCCTTAAAGCTTGCTAATCTACTGCTATACTCTTGGATCTTCCCCCTACCTAACTCTCCTCTTTTCTCAATGTACTATACTGTGTGCTAGCTGCACAGGTGTAAATTGGAGTCTACCCTGCAAATTCCAGTGACTTTCACTGTGCCAAGGGATCCAAATTCCATGACACAGGAGCAAAAGCATACTTTCTAGCCATGGGGAGTAACATGACTGATGTGGGAGGTGATGTATGTCATGAAGATGTTTTATTGCCACTGGTTAATAAAGAAGCTACTTTTGGCCAATGGCTTAACAGAGTAAAGCCAGGCAGAAAGAGATATACAGAGAGAGTAGGCAGAGTCAGGGAGAAGAAGCCTTGTAGCCGCCACCAGAGATAGATGTGTTGGAACCTTGCAGGTAAGCCACAAATAGCCATGTGGCAATATACAGATTAATAGAAATGGGTTCATCTAAGATATAAAAGTTAGCCAGAAAAACACTTAAGTTATTGGCCAAACAGTATTGCATATAATACAGTTTCTGTGTGATTATTTTGAGTCAGAGCGGCCAGGAATGAAAGAACGAACAAGCAGCTTCTGACTACACATGACAACTCCCAAAGAGGATGCACACCTGTGAAATCTATGGGCTCTGCCGACACAGCTCCACACCACCTCTTTCCCATCCCAGATCCACAGCACTGGCACTGGGTTCCTAGCCTGGACATTTCCTGTCTGCCGCATTAACAGAGCTGTGCTCTACCCACCCTAACAACCAGGACCCAAGAGAAGCCTGAGAGACAACAGTCACCATCTTTGTACTGTTAGTTCAAAGGAACTCAGGGTGATCCTGAGTCAGGCCCGTGTCTCTGCTGCAGCTGGTAGGTAAGGAAAAAGGAGTGGGGGAAAGGCAGGGGGCAAGGAAGGTCAGCACTCACTCCTGTACCCCTAATTGTCATGAGGATATAATAGAACACAATGTATAGAAGTAACACATACACAGACACAGACACACACACACACACACAAAGAGAGAGGAGAGAGAGAGAGAGAGAGACAGACAGACAGACAAACAGACACAGAGTCAGAAATGATGTTGACAGGAAGTTAGGCGGGAGCAGAAGAGCCAGAAACCAGCACTCCCTGTTAAAAGATGATCAAAAATGTGACTCATGGCACTTCCTGCAGCCTTTGATCTTCAAAACCCATTGTAATTAGTTCATGGCTGGTCCTAGAGGAAGGTGAGTATTACTGGGGAGGGAGGAGGGAGCAGAGATGAGACTCCTGCAAATCTCACTGTGGCAACCCATCGAACTCCCAGGTTCCCACTGCCTGTGTTCCAACCACAGCCATTTGCTTCCTCTCCACAGACAACTTCTCTCACAGGGAGGGTGTTCCCCTTAGGAAGAATTGAGTTCAAACACTACCAGGAAGCCACCATTAAGGCATTAAGAAAAAGAAATAAAAGGAAAGGGGAAGAAGAAATATATCTGGGAAGCCTACAGAATAATTAACACCCGCTACCCTGCAAGGCATTAATAATAATTAAAACTTATAATGTCAATTTCATGGCTCATTACTCAGATGAGACACGCAGATCTTCCTCTGGGCTTAATGTCCTACCCCACGGAGACTGGGTTCTTACATATGCATAGCGGCGCTCTCCAGCTTCTAAGGCATCAAATTCTGCAGTTTGCTTTGACAAATGGGATTCCATTAGACCTCCAACTCTGCAGGGTCTCACACGCATCCCTGGGCCACAGGGTCACCATGTCCTGAAGCAAAGTGGATGAGCACTCATAGATGGCTCCTGCACCACAAGAGCCCCAGAAAACCAGAGTGAAGTACGTGAATCAAGAACTCCTCCATCTTCAGACTCTCTGAATTCAGGGTCTTCCACTCAGTGCTTGCTACTTGGGGTTATATCAACCTGTTAGCAATGGCTATGGGTCCCATCGTTATAGACAGTTGGCCCATTTTTGTCCTTCGTCCCTGGCCTGGTAAAGGTCACAGGATCAAGGCATTAACTGATTGAATAACTATGTGAAAATTACCAGAATCAAAATGGAATCACTTTTGCCAAACCCTAGATATAAGTAAGTACAGAAATAAATGAAGCAAAGCAAAAGGTTACTAACACGGGGATCTTACATATTCATGCCTGTTACTGTCAGGACCACAAGTACTGCAACTTTACATACAGAGAGAGAGAGAGAGAGAGAGAGAGAGAGAGAGAGAGAGAGAGAGAGAGAGAGAGAGGTTTACTTCTGCTAGGAATACAGACCAGTGAAAGTGTATATGTTCAACCATGAGCCAGTGGTACTTTTGTTATCAATTTATCTATTGTTTTTTTAAATCAAGGGTCAATCATTTCCCAGAGTTAACAAGGTGAGTCTGCCTGGTCCTCCCCTTCATGTACCCTTCCTCAAACCCCAGGTGTGGCC